CTGGTTGTTTCTTAATTTATTTAGACATTAATGTTTGTGCTATCGTTTGTGTTGTTTATCATCAAAGCGCGCACAATTAAATGCACACGATTATTAAATAATCTTATAATTTTCATTTGTGTGAAAAATGTCTTTTCAGCCAAATACTCTTAAAAGTGTCTTTTCGAGGTACCTCCCGAACAAAAGTTCCATTTTTCATTGAGTTTGCTATGAAAACATCACTTTCCAATTTTTTTTGGCCAAAAGTCGATTTTCCTGAAAGTTGGAATCAAACCAATCGAATATGCGGGTAGAACTATTTGAAAACATCATTCGATTTGATCATGTAGACTCAAAATGTTTGAGAGATCATACTAGAAGTTCAGAGGCAGAAAAGGTAGAAATCATTTGCTCTTATCTGTCAAACCGAAGTTCTTGTTCGTGATTTGCTCATTTTGCAAAGAACGACTATGAAATTAGAACAGTTTTCTGCATCATTTGACATTTTTGTTCATTATAACTCAATGTATAACAGAATACTAAAAACTTGAAGCTATTTTGGTAATTATCTCTACTTAAATCAATGCAAATCTTAACGATTTAAAGCTGAAATGGTTGTTGTCTCTGATTAAAAAAGCTGTTTATAGCAGAATTCAGTTATTGTCTATAATGATGCAAAGCTTTCAGTCGTTCTTTGTTACCAAAATATTTCATGTCTGGATCAATTTGCACTGAATTTCATCCAAATTGCAATCTGACAAGTACCAATTTCTTTACAGGTTCTGGCTACAAGCTACAAGTTAAAAGCTGAACAAAAGTCCACCACCTGGGTGACTCGTGTGGGGTCAAATGTTGAAAATGCCGAAAAATTGCCATTTTTTGGTCATTTTACACTGTAATTGGCCTATAATGCCTTTTCAAGCGCTGATTTCTCGGTAAAAGTTATAGATATTGACGAGCGAAACAAAAGCTCGGCATCATTTTTTGCCGAAAATTGGCTACAATAATAGAATTAGTCGAAATGTTTTGATCTAAAATGGCTTCCCAGCACTGTCATAAAAATTTTGATAAGCAAGCCCTAGCCATAGAATTATGTATGGTACTCATATGCGTTCTTTGCGCTAAACATGAGGTATATTTTTAGAAACTGGACGGGGCAGTTGGAGTAGGGACTTTTTTGGGCCAGACTATCCAATATTGAGATCAAAGCACATTCGAATTTGGCGCAATTTTAAGATTTGTTGGAACATTCGCAATAATTTGAACTTTCGACATTTGCAATACACTCAGTGAGGCGACCGTGCATTGTTGCACAACAAAATGCAACAATGGTTCTCATTTCTATTTTTAAATTAATAAAATGATAAATATGTTTTTTATAACTAAAAGAATAACAGATTCCATCTCCACATTCATCACAATTTCTAAATAAAAAATTGTCGGCGCAAATATTTCCCTAAATAAAATTTAAATTGATTAGGCAATATATCCATGGGCGTCTCCATTGCACAATGAGGATATAGATTGTTGACATGTAAGTTGAGTTTGACAGAAAGCAAGAGTGTGACACTTGGTATAAATGTATTGGTGCTGTCATTGTGGCATACCCAATATTTTGAAAAAAATATCATCCGTACTATGCCTGCGAAACGATTAACGGGAGCTGCCATCTATTTCCAGTATCAACGAAACCTTGACAGCGACACACACGGTGGTTTGGTAATAACAGGCAAAAGAGTGTCGCTAACTATAAAAATTTCAATATTCTGTATTGTTCAAATGTCAAAATGAGGATCAATGTAAGAGGATAATACGGATATGAATTGTTATTGTTTTGAATAGAAAACAGTAACAGCCACGTAGGTGGTATTTGCGATATTATTATATTTTGCGTATTTCATCATACATAGAAATCAATATGTATACATCAGCTATCGATTAACAATAAATTTAGATCATTGTTCTTCACACACACACACACACACACACA